AAAAAAAAAAAAAAAATCACATAAAACAGTTGGGGAAAAGTCATGTATCTGATCTTCAACAGATTATTCTTTAAGTTTCACACAATGAAAACGTTCATCACTAGAGAGGTGCGATGGAGTCCATGTGAAACAACCCATGCACTAGCAAGTTTACAGGGATTCCAGGAGGAAGTTCAATAAACATACTGCCTCAGGCTGGGCCAGGGATTTGGCTCAGTGGTTTCCCCGCCTGCTGTGCAAGCACAAGGACCCGAGTTTGATCCCTGGTACCAAAAACAAACAAACAAAAAAACATACTGCCTTTGGAAAAAATTAACTTTTTACCTGATACATAAAATTAAAATTATACATACTTATGGAGTACTATAGGATGGTTTCATATAATGATACTTTGTACTATAATTAAATCAACTTAGACATATCTATTTCCTCAAGAGTCAAGTCCTGGGATCAATCCCCAGCACATCCAAAGAAAAGAAAAAGGTCAGTTAATCCCTTCAGCTTCACCATTACCATCACCTCCAAAATTACCATGGCTATCTTCTGCCAAATCAACTAAACCTCCACGACAGTAAAATCAGCAGAGAGGCTGAAGTTCACTGGCCGCCCTTGAGTTGACTTTTAAAGCTGTCGAAACCTTAAGTAAACAGATCCAGCAACCAGTGAAAAAGGACACACCCAGAAACTTGCAGTAAAACACTGACTTCATAGTTCACAATGAACTGTCCCATTTCATACACAAGTGGCCTTGCCTGGAGTTAAAGATGGAAAGCAAATACTCCTCCACACTCTCACACTGCACAGGGCAGTGGTGGCAAACCTATGGCACACAGCAGGCTGTTTGTCTTCACTGAAAGCTCTAAAAGGCTCACCATCACTGTCATTTGGGGAACAAAGGAGGGTTCAAGTAGGGACAAGCAGGGACACCATAACCATCATTTTGGTGGAAAAATGATGACCCTAAGCCCTTTCGGGCTCTTTTTGGGAGGAGGTACCAGAGATTGAACCCAATGTCTTGCTTACACTAAGCAAGTACTTTGCCACTGAGCTATATCTCTACTCCTTTTTTATTATTTTGAGACAAGGTCTCTAGTTGCTCATGCTGGCCTTAAACTTGTGGTCTTCCTGCCTCAGCCTCCCAAGTAGCTGGGATTCTAGGCATGCACTACCATGCCTAGCCCATTCTGGCTTTCCCAAGGCAGCTTTGGGGTTTTTTTTTGGGGGGGGGGTTTGCTCCTTATATAATTTCATCTAGGATTCTGGATTTCCTTTAAAAAAAAAATCAGCTATTTAGGGTGCTCTACTGAGCTAAAGGAGCCTTTATGATAATTAGTGTCTTTCCCCTGTACCTGGTTGGCAGCTTTCCTCACTAGGCCAACTCACACCCCACACCCACTGGCCAGAACAAACCTGCCTGGAACCAGTATCCGCTGACCTTCAAGGCAAGGAACCAGTCTGATCAAAGAAACCCATGATGGCAGTTTGTGAGGTTGCTTCTAACAGCATCCTAATAGAAACGAAGTTCCACTCTGAACATCTCTAAAGGACATTTAGTAGCACTCCTTTGGGAGTTATTCCTGGAGGGATTGCCTGGGCTTTTTAAGCAAATGACAACATAGAGGAAGCCTGGGGAGGTTAACACTATATACCAAAGAAACCCCAAAATTTCTCTAATCATTCTCTGTACCTCACTAAAATACTTCAGAGGTAACTGTGAATGCAGAATTAGTCACTGTGGTTTGTCATGCTATCATTCATGTAACAAGGTTAAAAGGCTCCGAACCACTCCAAAACACCCCTTGAGCAAGTATAACATCCTGGGCAATAGTGTTTCCTCCAAGATCAGCAGAAAAATCAAAGAAGGTGAAAGAAAGCAGTTGTTTTATTTTGCAAAGTCCAACCTCTTTCTGTATGATTTCCTTGGAAGCCTTTCTTTTCAGAGGTCAGATCCACTCTTTAAAAAAAGAAAACCTAGGGCCAGGGATTTAGCTCAGTGGTTTCGCTGCCTGCTGTGCAAGCTCAAGGACCTGAGTTCGATCCCCGGTATCGGGAAAAAAAAAAAAAAGGAAACCTAGTCACCCATGGTGGTGCATGGTTGTAATCCCAGCACTCAGGAGGCTGAGGCAGGAGGATTGCTCTAAGTTCAAGGCCAGCCTGGGCTCCATTGTGAGTTGAAGGCCTGCCTGAACTATATACCGAGACCCTGAGTCAACTTTTTTCTATCCCACCCTCTTAAAATTCATTGTAAAAGCCAAAACAACTTTTGCAACATACACAGTCAACAATTTTAAACACAAAGTTTAACAAAGCACCAAAAATTGAGGTACAGAAACCTAGGAATTTCATGAAAGGTTGAAAAGTTTTTTTTAACACTTACCCATTCTTCAACATTGGGGGGCTGCTCATCATAAATGCGTTCCTTGTCCCACAAAATATTAGACTTATCATAACGGTCCATCTTTCCTCGAGTTCTCACAGCAAAGAAAATTATTAAAGCAAAAGCCACAACAATGAGGAATCCCAGCACAATGGCAATAGCCTAAAAAGGGATTAGATTGGCATAATTAATTTTAATTGCTTATTTCACTCCAATCTACTGTCTGCAAGTTAAAATCCTTATCTAAGGAACCATTAAATATCTGTGGTTTATATAATATATAACTGAAACAAATAGGTGCACTTTAGACATATCATAAAACCTAATCTACACCAACTGGGTTAAGGCTAACAAAGCACATACATTTGCATGTGTGTACACACAAACGTACAAAACTTGATTCAATCCTTAAAACATGCTTAAAGCTAAGTAATATTATCACTCCATTTTACAGCTGTAGAAAATTGTTTCTGAAGCTAGTTCATACAGGGGCCTTATTTTTATGAATAGACAAAATGGCCAGTAGATTCAATCAATAGTATACTTCTAAAGGGCTTGAAAAAATGCTAATTTCAGAATTAGCTTTATTTTATTTTTTTCCAGTACACTGGTGATTGAACTCAGGACCTTGAGCTTGTGAGGCAGGTGTGGTGCCACTGAGCTAAATCTCCAACCCCAGAATTAGCTTTAAATATCCAAGCATGCCTACAATGTTGTTCATAAAATGTGCTTGGCAAACTTTTTTACACTCAATTTAAATTTCTGTCCATATAGGATCTATCTTACCATAAATGATGAAGACATGGATCTAACCAAGCTATAAATTATAACCAATAGATAAATAATTCCTTTGGTCCACCAGGGTTCTCTGTTTTCAGTCTTCTATAAGATAGGGCCTATGACAAGGAAACTCACAACTATAGGTGGTTCTTCCAGTGTCTGCTAAGTGTATCAGTTGTACACTGGCCTGAGAGGTTCTTGAAGTTGAGGCAGGTACCAGGTAGCCCTGGATATTCACTAATGGCAACAGGGGGCTCTCCTTCCAGCTATCTACAGTGACATCCTTTCTCAAAGAATGTAGATTTCAAGGAGCCAGAGGATTAAAAGGGATAAAGGTGTGGTAAGATAGGAGTACCAGATCTCAGTCCCTATTTACCACAGAAATGTCTGAAAGGCAAGAACAAGCATTCTGAAAGGTGTATCTGCAGGGAAGAGTAATCAAAATAAACACAGTTATTGGAGAAAGTCTAACTCAATCAGGTGAAAGAATGTGAATTCCTGAGTCAAAAGAGAGAGAGAGAGATTAGTAACTCAGAAACGTTCAGGTGTTAATGTAATTAGGATGACTCATGGTTGCTAAAGGCAAGGTTCTCAGCCCTACCTGAACATTTGAATCCCTGGATACCTTTTAAAGATTCAGACACTCTGAAAACTACAAAACACAGAAGAAACTGAAGACGACCTACACAAATGGAGAGACATCCTATGCTCATGGAATGGAAGACTTGTAAAGATGTCAGTATGCTGTCAAATTAGTCCTGAGTCAATGCAATTCTTCAAAATCTTAGTGGGCTTTTTTTTTTTTTTGCAGAAATTGATAAACTGGTCCTAAAAATCCATACAGAAATACAAGGTACCAAAAATCTAACCAAACTACCCTGAGATGTTGGAGAACTACCACTTCATGATGTTAAAACTTACTCCAAAGTTAAAGTAATCAAGACCATGTGCATGATAGAAACATAAATTAATGGAATGGACCCTACATCAAAAGGGGTGTGGGGGGGGTCACAGTGGCATACACCTGTAATCCCAGTACTCAGGGATGCACACCTGTGATCCCAGCACTTAGGAGGCTGAAGCAGGAGGATCTCCATACATTCAAGGCCAGGATGGACTACATAGTGAGTTCAAGACCAGCCTTACTGACATAGTGAGACCTTGTCTCAAAAAAAAAAGAAATAAATGTTTGGGCCTTTGAATTAGGCAAAGCATTTTTAGATGTAACACCAAAAGCACAAACAACAAAAGAAAAATTAGATAAACTTCAGCAAACCTAAAAACTTTGGGGCAAAGGATCTTGTCTCCAGATATACAAAGAAAAATAGCCTCATTTAAAACTGAATAAAGAAACTGCCATTTCTCAAAAGATGATAAAGAAATGGCCAATAAGTACATGAAAATAGTGAATAAGTACATAAACAGCACCATTAGCTATCAAGGAAATGGCAATCAAAACTACAGTGAAGTCCTGGGTTCAATTCCCAGCACTGAGGGGTAAAAATCATAATGAAGTACTATTTGACACCCCTTAGCACAGGTAGAAACAGACAAACTGATAATAACAAGTGTTGCTGAGAAGTAGAGATAATGGATATACATTTCTCTCATACATTTCTGTTGGGAATTTTAAATGTGTAATCTCTTTAGAAAAGTCTGGCAGTTCTTCAAAAGGTTAAACATAATGAGGCATAATGGCAACTTAGCAAGGCCCTGTCTCAAAAAAAAAGGGCTGGGGATGTAGCTCAGTGCACCCGGTCTTAGGTTCAATCCCCAGTACCTCCCCCTCAAAAAAAAAAAAAAAAACTTGAACACCAATGTTCACAACTTGTATGTAGGGCACTGATCATTACATTATTTCTAACAGCCAATACAGAATCAGCTCCAATGTTCGGTCACTAATGAGTCAATAACATTTGGTATATACATTCACTGGAAGAAAGCCATAACACAGCATAAAGGACTCATACAAACTAAAACATAAACTTCAAAAACATTATGGTAAGTGAAAGAAGTCAATCATAAAAGACCACATATTGTGAGATTACAATAAAATACCCAGAGAAAGGGCAAATCTAGAAAGGTAGGATTGGTGGTTGCCTAGGGAAGGTGAGGAAAATGGCCATGTTCTACAACTGACTGTGGTGATGTTTGCACACTTCTGTAAATATACCACAAACCTGAACTGTTCTTTGAATGGGTGAAATTGTATAATATTTTAATTATATCTTAATAGTGATACACAGCCCCTCCCTGAGATTCTAATATAATTAGAAATGGGCTGTTGGCATCATAATTTTTTAGGCTTTGTCATCGTTGCTGTTACAGTATCAATATATTCAAATAATTCCTAGAGTAACTCTATTATATATCTCAAGCTGACAGCATCTGACTCAAGGAAAGGGGAAGAAATAAAAACCAAACACTACTCATACCTCCTGGGGATCCACCACACAGTAGTGATACAAATACTGGTCCATGTAGAGCCCACTAACTGCAGGTGCATAAAACTGGTTGCAGAGGGCATATATCTGTGAGCCATACATAGATCCAGATGCCTGGGCAGTGGGGTTGACACCCATTATGTAGACGATTGTGGCAATAAACACCATGATGCCCAGGATGGCACTCAGTATTATCACAGTCAAGTAATATCTCCTTGTTCTAGACAACTCAGATCTTATAACGCTGGTAACAAATATCACCAAGGAAGCAATGAAACAAAAGGCAGCCATGGCCAAGAGGAAGCCCTTGGCTGCTCTTGGATCCGTGTAGCCTGCTCCATAGCCATAACCGTAGCCATAACCATACCCATAGCCACTTCCGTAGCCACTAAAGCCACTTCCTCCATAAGGATAGCCGATGCCGCCTCCTAGAAGGCCAGTTCCATAGCCTCTATCCCAGGCGAGCGTGGAGGCAACACAGGCAAATATAGCTATGCACATCACAATAATGAGCATAGACAGAATCCGAATCACTCCTGGGGGAGAGGTCCATTTGTAGAAGTGAAGGATTTCATCTTCTGGGTAAAAAGAATATGCTGGCTGAGACAGCATCGGTCGAACGTGCATTTCTCCACCATATATGTCATTGCTTGGTGCATAATGATTTGGTTTGCTGAAATGCAACATAAAACATAAAAACAACTTTAAGTTAGCATTTTTGAGTGGTAAGCAGAAAGAACATGTAAAGTCCTTATAATCATTCAAACAAACCATAACAAAACTATTATTACTGCCCACTGGTCAGTAAAGTATCTGCACTGGAATCACCTGAAGAACTTGTTAAATGATATATTATCAGTCCCCAGAGCTGTGGGTTCTGCAGGTCTGAGGCAGAACATGTTTCCAGCTAATGTAGATGCTGCTCTTCTTGGAAATATATCTTGACAATTACTGTTCTACTGTACTTTGCAGCATAGGTTCCCAAACTTTACTCCATATTAGATACCTGGGAAAGTGTAAAACTCTGGTAGTGGGGTTGAAGATACAGCACAGTGGTGGAGCACTTGCCTAACAAGTGCAAGGCCCTGAGTTCAATCTCCAGCATAGAAAAAAAACAAAAAATCTTCAGATGGTGCACACCGTATCAGCTAAATCAAAATCCCTGAGGACAGGACCCAGACAGTACGAGACCAATGGTACTGACCTATTTGCTTTTTTGGGGGGGGCGCGGTTGAGGCAAAGTCTCCCTTTGTAGTTCAGACTGGCCCTGAACTCACTATATAGCCCAGGCTGGCCTCGAACTTGTGGCAATCCTCCTGCCTCAGCCTCCTGAGTGCTGGGATTACAGGTGTGTACCACCACACCTGGCTCTCAACCTATTTGCTTTTGTGGCATGAGACAGGTGCATTCGGATATAACACCTACAACTGGCCTCCAGGGTCATGCCAATTCCTGACAGCCTATTTAAGAAAGCACATTCATTAATTTATTCTTGTGACATCTGTTTAATGGAGTTGCCAGGATGGCTTATAATGGGCACTCTACTAGGAAATGGAGATGCAAAAGACCAGGATAATCACACTGCAGTTTAATCTGTCCAGGGAATAACACACTAAGAAGGAAAACACTTTGAAGTGTTTCCCACCCCTCCCCATACAAGGATTAAATTGAACCCAGAGCCCTTGCACTAGGCTACATCCCTAGCCCCTTTTATTACTTTGAGACAGGGTCTCCCTAAATTGCACAATCTAAGTTCACATGTGCAATTTTCCTGCCTCAGCCTCTCACAGTGCTTGGATTACAGGTGTGCAGCACTAGGGCAGGATAGATGTTTAGTTGTTTTGTGGCCTGAGTAATGACCATGTGGACGTATCCTCTGAATTCATGAATCATCTCACAATATGCTGTGTCCTTTTCCATCTATGCATTACAGTTTGCTCCTTTTTTTTTTTTTTTTAACAAAAGCAACACACAATAAAATTGTTAGGTTAATGGAGCACTACTAAATTATAATATTTTCCAGCTCCCAGCCAGGGATGTGTCTAAGTGGTGCTGTGCCGGCCTGGCAAGTACAAGGTCCTGAGTTTGATTCCCAGTACTGGACACAAAAAATTCTCCAGCTACCCCCACCCCATGGTCCTGGGGATCAATCCCAGGGCCCTGTACATTCTAGGACAATTCTCTACCACTGAGCTAGTCCCCACCTCTCCAACATATTTTAAGAACCACACTATCATAAACAACTGTGTCCCTATTATATATAGGTACCAGTTAAGAGTCTATACATAACTGGAAGACAACCCATATGTGGGACTGAAATATATATTTGGACTTAGTTCCTGTAACCTGTCACACAACTAAAATCCTGAGAATCTCCAAAGTGCTAAACAACTTCTTGTATGGTGATGAACTGGAGGCTTCATCCAGGTAGCTTCAGGATGGGGACTGGTCAACTAAGACCAAGTCAGGACTAGAGGGCTGAGTTTTTTGCCCCACTTCCTAATATTTAGGGAGGAGACAGGGGCTAAAAGTTAAGTTGATCACCAGTAGCCAATAATTTAATCAATTATATAATGAAGCTTCCATAAAACTCCAAAAGGACTGGGTTCAAAGAGCTTCCAGAGGCCGAAGATTTAGCTCAGTGGTTTTGCCACCTGCTGCACAAACGCAAGGACCCAAATTCAATCCCTGGTACCAAAAAAAACCCCCCAAAACAAAGAGCTTCCAGATAGCTGAACAGGCAGAGGTTTCTGGAGGTGCACGCCCCAGAAGCTGAAGTGCCACCTCTTCTCCCACACCTCACTCTCTTTATCTGTTACTTGTTGGTAAATGTAAATACTACAAGTGCTTTCCTGAGGTCTGTGAGCTGTCTAGCACTTAACCGCAACAAAGGTTGGAACCCCCATTCATAGTCAAACAGTCAAAGCAAAGGCCAAATCATGTGCTTGCAAACTGGTATTCAAAAGTGGAGGACAAGGCCGGGGATTTAGCTCAGTGGTTCTGCCGCCTGCCTTGCAAGTGGAAGGACCGGAGTTCGATCCCCAGTATCAAAAAAAAAAGTGGAGGACAGTGCCATGGGACTGAGCCCCTCCTGTGACCTACAGATCCCCAGATAGACCGAGTGGTGACTGAACTGGAGGACAGTGCCAGGAGGTATCTCCTGTGAACTGAAGGCTCCTCTGCTGGTGAGGAGAAATCCCCACACATTTTTAGTGACCAGAAGTCACAGAAGCAGTCTCTGTCAATGTGTTGTACAAGTATAACAGGAGAAACTAAAGTTGTTTTTTCCTATGTTAAACCCTGACAGTTATCTGAGTTAAAGCTACAAAGTATTTAAAAGAACAAATCCAAAGGGGGGGGGGGATTTAGCTCAGTGGTGCCGCTCCTGCCTCTCTAGCACAAGGTCCTGAGTTTGATCCCTGGTACCACCAAAAAAAAAAAAAAGAAGAAGAAATCCACATCAATATTTAATAACAAATATAAAACTTAAGAATTCCCCGATATATCCCCCAAAACCCTCAATTTTGCTTATTTTGTATAATGGCAGGAATCATTTTCAAAGTTGACAATATGGAAAACATTATGCTAAGTTACAAAACGCTACTTATTACACAACTCCACTTATATGAAATACCTAGAACAGAGAAATGTACAAAGAGTAGACCAATGGTTGTTTATGGGTGGAGGATTGGGAAGTGACTGCTGATGGGTGAGTAGGTTTTTCTGGTGAGTGATGAAATGAAAGTATCCTAAAATTAATTGTGGTGGGCCAGGGATTTAGCTCAGTGGTTTTGCCGCCTGCTGCACAAGCACAATTACCCAAGTTCGATCCCCGGTGCCAAAAAAATAAAAAATAAAAATAGGTGAATAAATTAAATTAAATTGTGTTAAGCCACAGTGGTGGCACACACCTGTAATTCCAGCAACAGGGAGGCTGAGGCAGGATTGCTGTGTTTGAGGCCAGCCTGAACTACGTGGTGAGACCCTGTCTCAAAAACAAAACAAAACAAAAATGTATACTAAAAGCCAGTGAGCTACCTATTCTAAATAGGTAAATTGCATGGCATGTGAATTACATCTCAATAAAGCTGCTATTTTAATATTTGACAGAATGTCACCAACAGGATCTAAAAAAGGCACGAGTATTGAAGTTTTATATCACATGTGAAAAATAGAAAGGAATATACACACAATTATACAACTAGACAGCCGCTTGAGGCAAACATGAGAAATAGGAGACAGCAGCTGCCTCTGCCAAATCAAGGGTAACAAGGAAATTCACTTTTTACAGTATTGTCTTTGGTACAATTCAAATTTACAAGCACACAGACTGACACTAAACAGACGAGTTTCAACCATACACATTTTTTACATATAATACAACTTATTAAAAAAAAACCAACAGGGCTGGGAATTTAGCTCAGTGGTTCTACCGCCTGCCTCACAAGCTCAAGGTCCCGAGTTCGATCCCCAGTACCAAAAAAAATCTAAAACTAAAAATTATTTACTTACAATTCATCAGGTCTATAGGGAGGTGGGCTTTCAAAAGGCCTTGATGACATGGTGGCGTCACTGGTCACCTGATCTTTAGGATGAGCAATGTCTCAGTAGCTCCCAAGATAAGCAATCTAAGCAACAAAAGTAGGGCAATGGCATTACTACTGAGGTCAGAGCTGTGCTGCATCACTAAGACACCAAACACTCCAAAAAAAAAAAAAAAAAAAAGACACCAAACACTCCAATGCCAGTCACCACTCACCACTCACTCCAGTCACTACTCCTACCCTCTCTGCTGACATTTTTCCATGCTGGACGTTAATTCCTCAGGCACAGAAAGCGCACAGGAATCATTTGGCCTTGTAGTTCTCATGGTACGTGGCATCATACTCTGCGCACCCCAGCATAGAGGTATTTTTTTTTTAAGATTTAAAAATATTATTAATTTAAAATAATAATGAACCCACCAGGTGTCTTGCATGTCTGTAATCCCAGCACTCAAGAGGCTAAGGCAGGAGGAGTGCTCTGAGTTTGAGGCCAGCCTGGGATACATAACGAGTTCAAAGCCAGTCTGAACCACATAGCAAGACCCTGTCTCAAAACAAAAACAAAAAACCCATAAAATAAAATAAAATAATGAACCCATTACATGTTAGCAAGAATAACATATTTACAAGAAATAATTACATTTTCTAAAGTAAAAATAAATCATAAGAATGGTAGCATTCAAAACTTTTGTATCTCTGTAATGTCTGACTCTCTAGAAGTCAGCTGGATCCTCACATTGCTTCTGCATTCAGTCTATGTAGGTAAAGTAGATAAAGAATATTCAGCTTCACATGGATATTGTCTTTGGAAAGGGGAGGAATATTTGAATACATTTCAGATTATCGTGGCCATTCTGCCTTGTTATGATAGCAAAGCTTCAATTTTAGTTTTTGAAAGGTTAAAAATGCATGGGGGCTGGGGATGTAGCTCAGCGGCACAGTGCCTGACTGGCAAGCGTGAGGTCCTGAGTTTGATCTCCAGAATCAAAATAAGAAAAAAAAAATGGTTAAAAATGCAGTATGAAACCTGAAACTACTTTAAAAAGGACTGGAGATGTAGTTCAGTGGTGGAGCACTTGCCTAGCATGCAGGAGACCCTGGGTTCAATTCCCAAGTCCATAAAAAAGAAAAAAAAGTACATATGATCACAGAGTCCAGCACATACTTCCCCCTCCATGTTAACTAAAGCATAATCTAATTGATTTAAAAGTGAGCCTTTATTGTTAAAAATTATTACAGAGCCAAGCGTGGTGGCCCATTCCTATAATCCCAGCACTTGGGAGACTGAATCAGAAGGACCACTTCAAATTTGAGGCCAGCCTGAATACACAGTGAAAACCTATCTCAAAAGACCAAAAAGGGGCAGGGGATTTAGCTCAGTGGTTCCACACCACCTGCCCAGCAAGTGCAAGGACCCGAGTTCCATCCCCGATACCAAAAAAAAAAAAGACCAAAAAGAAAACAAAAATGATAACAAAATGTATAGATGGTGGGTCTACAAACATCTGCCCCTTTTCTCCTTTTCCAAGTCTTCAATTTGAAAATAATTCTTAGAAAAGGGGAGAAACACTGAACTTATATTAAAGAGTCCTTTTCTAAGGGAAATGTAAAATGACTTTGTTCTAAAATCCCTCAGAAAACAAATCCCTAGATATCTGAAAGGCAGTTTCAAGTGTTTCTCAAAGGAGCCTCTGGAAGTGAAGAACGGACCTTCTCCAGAAGGTCAAACACCACAGTGACTCCTGGAGTCAGGGCTGAGCCACACCCTCAAGGGCAGCCTGGGGAACACTCACAGAGGAAGAGCCAGAAGCTTGGGTCCTGGAAGGGAGGACAGACACCCTGGCTGGTTAAATGCCGCCATGAACGAGGCTGGTTATGGGACAGAGGCCAAACTGGAAGGGCTAATCTCTCAAATAAGGTTATGGTGAGAAGATGGAGGGTTGGGAATGGAGTGAAGATAAGGAGGGCTTTGTTGTTTTTTTTATTTTTACGACAGGGTCTTGTTATATAGCCCAGACTGGCCTCAAACTCCTGGCAATCCTCCTGCCTCAGCCTCCCAAGTGCCAGGATTACAGGCATGTGTCACCATGCTCCACATCCAAGGAGGGCTCTGAAAGTCCAGTGGGCATCTTACCTCATTAAGGTAGGAAACAGGGAGCAGCTCTTGATTCTCTGTAGGGGAGGTTTAAGAATAAGGACAAACAGGACAGAGAAAAAAGGAGCTCCCGGGTCCAGCAGCAGTAAACGCAGAAGTGATGAAGGATTAGTTTAGGAGATAGAAGAGGGGAAATAACTAAAAACACTGGATACCTATCCACGTCCCAGGTGCTTTACATAAAATTCTCACTTCACCCTCAGGCCTGAATAACCGACACTCTAGTTACAGAGAGGATCAGAAAGAGATATGAAGTAATATGAGCTAAGTCAGAGATGGAGGGCAGTAAGCCACTGATATAACCTTGAACCCAGATCTTCTATGCTTTCCACTATCATGGCTCTCTCTCTTTTTTTTTTTTTTTTTTCCTGAGACAGGCTCTTGCAGTGTCCTTCAGACTGGCCTTGAACTCACTATGTAGCCCAGCCAGGCAAGCCTCGAACTCTGTGCAATCCACCCACTTCAGCCTCCCGAGTGCTGAGATTACAGGTGTGTTCCACCCTGCTCGACGGCTTTTAAAAACAAGTAACATGTGGGATAAACTAGTCTTCATGTGGGGTAGTCAGCTGTGACAGTGAGTGTGGAGTCCACAAGAGGGTTTGTGGGCACTATGTGCTCTCCTGGAAAAAGGCTGACAAGTCTCAGAGATATAGTGAACACACAGTTCCCAAACCAAAAGGCTTGAGACTTGCTCTAGAAAACCCAGCACTGGGACCATCAGCAAAGTACTCCATGCATCAGCTAGTTCCAGTGAAGCGGCAGTCATTCTTTCCAGGAGACTGATTAGTGAGGAAGAGAAAACTTAGAGACTCACTAGATGGTAAATTCCCTGGAAGCACTGATTAAAACAGTGTTCTAAAACAATGACTGAAAATGCTTTAAAACAATGTTCACTGGTAAAATGCCAGGTACATGATGGATGTGTAAATATTTGTTGAACGTTTACATGAATCAGACTGGTCCATGGATATTTTGTGCTTTCAGGTTGAAGGTAATGGAAAAGTATCAAGTTAACTTTATAAGGCATTATCCCTTAAAGGACAGTTGAATAAGATCTATAATTTAAGTATATTAAAGTATAACTTTTTTCTCTCCTTTTCAAATAAAGTCTGTATAAGAGTACATGACAATGTTAAGAACAGTAAATCAATTCAAACTCCTAAACTTTGTTCTTTAATAGTGTGTCAGGTGTAGCAGTGCACACCTGTAATCCCAGCACTCAGGAGGCTGAGGCAGAAGGATTACGCTAAAGGCCAGCCTGTGCTACACAGTTCAAGGCCAGCCTGAACTACAAACTGAGGCTGTCCCACACACACACAAAAAAAGCAACTGTCTTCTTCCACATCCTGGAGTACATTCAAATCTCTATCTCTCAGAATAAAACCCTGCCTGGAAAATCACAAGTTCGAGCTATGTAGTGAACTCAAGACCAGCTTGAACTACATAGTGAGACCTTATCTCAAAAAACCAAAACATAAATAAATAAGTAAACAAATAAAACCCTGCCTAAGTGTATATTAGATAAAACCTCAAAGATAGAAATATACTGAATGTTAGTGGGGCCAGGGACAGGGATGTAGCTCAGCAGCACACTGCCTGCCTGGCAAGCGTAGGACCCTGAGTTCAATTCCCAGTACCAAAAAAAAAAAAAAAAACAAAAGGGGCCAGGGATTTACCTCAGTGTTTCTGCCACCTGCCTCACAAGTCCAAGGTCCTGCGTTCGATTCCCAGTACCAAGCAAACAAACAAACAAACCCCAAAGGTCAAAAAAACAACAAAAAAAGAAATATACTGAATGTTAGTAACACTAACAGAAGTTGTATAACTTCCCAAATGCAGTGAGGAAGACATCTGCTCTACCTTAGTTTTGTTAAACCACTTTGTTAGAGCACAGCATATAGAAAATACACAAATCCTAAGTGTACAGAGTCCTGTAATTAACATCCAAGTCAATTTCTTCATATTCTAATGGTGAAATACATACATATATAAACAAGAAATTTGGGCCAAAATGTTATAGGGCTGTTTTAAGTTTTCCTAATGGATGTTCAGAAAAAGAACACTAAGAAAATCTGAAAGAAAAAAAAAAGACAAAAGAAAAACTGGAGCGGTGTGTAGTGGCGCAAGACTGTAATCCCAGCCCTTGGGAGTCTGGGCCAGGAGGATGACCATGAAGTTTAAGGCCAGCCCGGGCTACATAATGAATTAAAGGCCAGTCTGAACTACATAGCAAGACCCTGTCTCAAAAAAAAAAAAAAGAAAAAAGAAAGAAAAACTGAATTTAAACATTATTAAGTGTGGGACCTTATTTTTAAAGCTAATTGTTACAATGACAAATATTGACCTTAAAGAAATCTTATCCTTTCTATACTTAGAACTCAATCATTCACAACTATTCCCCAAATTTCAGGCTTAGTAACAGTTTTTGAAAACTCTAATCCACATTCAGGCTAAATTGTCAAAAATTCAAGCAAAATCTCTTTCCAAACTGATTATTTTTAGGATTCAGCATTCATTTGTCCTGTCTCCTCTAATAAGACAGATTTTAAATTGTGAACAGTTTTAGAAAGCTTGTTAAGAACAAGTCATGCCACACCTTTATTTCTGTTTTGGAGAAGGTTACCATACTGATAGTTTAAGGAGGCCCAGGAAGAATCCTCGGAATCTCAAGCACATGCTCGTGTGAGCTGGGCAGATTCCGAAGGGGCCAAATAACAGAATCTGATTAGCACAAAAGAATGGGCTGTTTGTCTACCAGCAGGGAGGTCGGCAGTGATGACCAGACATGGTGGGCTAGATAAGCATATCCAGATTTGCCCCTGACCAGACGGTAGAAAGGATAACTAACCAAGAACGCACTAACACTGACCAAGATCTCCGTGAGGGTAGAGGTGAAACAAACCCAGTACTTTCAATGGTGCCCTTTTCCTAGCTCACAACCGGAAACCAGTTCCTTACCATCTCCAAACCTCAGCAATCTACCTGGTCCTCCAAGGGGAATAATTCTGACCTTGGGCTGAAGAGGAAGATGGTTTGCCAGAAGGTAAGAAATAAAGGTGCTTAGTTAGGTGTTTAGGAATTTGGTACAGGAAAACATCACTTAAAAATGTAAATATTTGCCTCACAAGAGCAAGGTCCTAAGTTCGATCCCCAGTACCATACAAAAAAAGGAAACGCTGTGTTACCGCACTCACCTAGCACAGAGCATAGCACACAGTGGCATAAGGCCCTAAGTTTGATCCCCAGCACCAAAACTAAATAAATAAATAAACTTGATTTAAAGAAAAGCATGTAGTGAGTACAGGATAAAGGGAACCTCAATAGATTTTTTTTTGAGGTACTAGAGATTAGCATTAGCATTGAGCCAAATCCCCAACCCTTTTTAAATTTTTTAATCACTTTTAAAAGTGGCATTTTCAAAGAAATAAAGCACGTTTCTTGGGTAATAATTTCAACAAAAGCTAACAAGCATTCACAGAAAAAGTGCTCAGATCTAGGAATTTTGTAACTTAAAAGAACTAAAACCTGAAATCTGTACATCATGTTCTAAAGTAGGTAGGAGGGTGCCTAAGGATTATGAAGGATCTAAAAAACACCATGTGTCTTAAAACAAATGATTGGAAAAACAGGAAATGTTTGGCCTGATAGAACCCAGGGCCTTGGCACTGAGTTACATCCCCAGTCATTTATTTTTTTATTTTGAGACAAGCTCCCACTAAATCACTGAATTGCCAACACTGGGCTTGAACTTGTGATCTGCCTGCCTCAGCCTCCCACAGCAATGAGCTTACAAGTAGACCCTACCACGCAGGGTGGGCTTGTGAATCTGACCTTAGAAGGACCTTTGTAGTCCTAGAAATGGTTAAAACAAAACCACAAAACGACGCAAACCCACTGGGTCATATTTCTTTTCAAAGTTAGGAAGTGCTTTCTCTGCCCTTACTCCCACCTCTCCCCAAGAATAACAAATAACCATTTAAGCTCAGGCCACTTACACAAAAACTTAAGTCACTTGTTATTTTTTAGAGACTGGACTGAAGGGACTTCAAGGTCTCTTTGAAGACAGAGTCTGTGACTGTGCTTTGCAGCAGCTACAGGAGGAGGGGAACCAAACCCCAGCACAACAAAACCAGATATGCAGAGTGAAGGAACTGGGATGTGTTATGTGCATGTTCCAACTCCATATGAGGAATGTAAACATTATGCATTACAAACTTGTACAAAAATTTTTTTTAATTGTTTTAATTCCAAATTTAATTTTTTTTTCCAGTACCGGGGATCGAACTCGGGACCTTGCACTTGCGAGGCAGGTGCCGGAACCACTGAGCTAAATCCCCAGCCCCCAAATTTAATTTTTAAAAAAGTGGAAAGGTCATTGAATTTGGATCACCTTCACAAATGTCTCAAGAGGGTGACAGGGCCAGAAGGGCAAAAGAGAATCAGCAAATCCCTGCTACAAATATTCAACTGAAAACCAGCTCCTCCAGCTAATGTTAAAATACAGTAACAGTCTCTCCCTGAAAATGTTTACTGGCCAAAAGCAATCTTAATAAGAAACTAAGCTAACGGGCTGGGGATAAGCTCAGTGGTGTGCGCCTGCTTCACAAGCACAAGGTTCTGAGTTCCCTGGTACCAAAACAAAGCTAAGCAACATGAAAAAAAGAAAAATCTTAAAATATTTTGCCCTGCCGGGTGTGGTAGCACACACCACTAATCCTAGCACTCAGAAGGCTGAGGCAGAAGGATCCCCTGAGTTCAAGACCACCCTGGACAACATAGGGAGTTCAAGGCCAGCCTAAACTACAAAGCAAGACCCTGTCTCATAAAACCAAAAAAAAAAGAAAAATAAACTTCTCTTTTTTTTTTGAGAAGGGTCTCACTATGTATCCCAGGCTGGTCTCGAACTTGTGGCAATCCTCCTGCCTCAGCCTTCCGAGTGCTGGGATTACAGATGTTTGCTAATAGCAGTCTGTTCCCTGTTCCTTTTAGATAACACATACCAATAGTCAATTTGCCTTTAAAAAGTTTAAGTTATAACCAATATTAAATGATCCTCAAGGGCCGGGGATTTAGCTCAGTTGTTTTGCCGCCTGCTGCGTAAGTGCAAGGACCCGAGTTTGATCCCCGGTACCAAAAAAAAAAAAAAAAAAAAGATCCTTTTTTTTTGGCACCGGGGATTGAACTCAGGACCTTGTGCTTGTGAGGCAGGCGGCAGAACCACTGAGCTAAATCCCCGGCCCTAAATGATTCTACTTAAACAATAAGCACATCATTAACAACTTGCCTAAAATTGTGAAATCAAGCAAATTTTTAAATAGACTAGCTCTATTTCCAGGAGGATCTTTTTTTTTTTTTTTTTTTTTTGGTACCAGGGATCAAAGTCAGGACCTTGTGCTTGTGAAGCAGGCGCAGTGCCACTGAGCTAAATCCCCGGCCCAAGAGGATCTACAATTTTAATAAAAGTTTCCACATGACATACTCCCCCAGCCCTCTCAACTTTCTCCTATAAGGGCTTCCCACTGAGATACATCCCCAGCCTTTTATTTTTTATTTTGAGACACAGTCTCAATAAGTTGCTAACTTTTTGAGATAGGGTCTCTCTAAGTCGTTAACCTACCCAGGTTGTGTTCCAACTCTGGATCTTTCTGCCTCAGCCTCCCAGAGTGCTAGGATTATAAATACCTGCCACCATGTCCAGCCTTCAGATGACTTTTAAGCAAACCACATATTTTAAGAATCTCTGCCTAGGGCTAGTGATATAGTTCGGGGATAAAGCATTTGCCCAGCATATATGCAAGGCCCTGGGTTCAATACCCAGTACTGGAGGGGAAAAAACTGTCTAGGAAGTTCCCAAATTCAAGTCTCAGCTCAATTGTAATTTCCTCAGACAGGCCCTCCAGGTTGCTCACTCCATCACATCAAATTTTATTTCCAGGGCCAGGGATTTAGCTCAGTGGTACTGCACCTGTCTTGAAAGTGCAAGGTTCTGAGTTTGATCCCCAGTACAAAAAAAAATTTTCTTTTTATTATTTCCTGAGCAAATTTTCCCCTCACTAAAAAATTATTAGTAGTATTAGTATTATACTGCTACCATTTCTACCCCATCTAGAACACTATTTTCACAAGCATTCAGATACGTGTCTTCACCATCACTTATCCCTAGTTCCTAGACCTAGTCCCTAGCCTGAAGGGATGATCACTCCAAATTTCATTAATAAAACCAACAGACCACATTAGAGCTGGAATTTCAGTCCACCAGTGAATGCCTTCAATAACATCCAGTAAATACACTTCTTAAAGTTCTGTCTGGCTAAAATAGTTAAGTGCTTTCGTTCTAAGGGAAAGAGGACACAGTAGTATGGGCACCCCGTGGGAACATGTTAGGCAGAATCCCAACCTCCAGATCAGAATGGCAAGGCTGGGTGGGGATTTAGCTCAGTGGTTCCGCCTTCTGTCTCATAAGCATAGGAGTTAGATCCCTGGTACCAAAAAAAACAAAAACCAAAAAAACCAAAACCAGAACGGTAAGGTCTCTAGGTGACTCACACCACTGTTGTCAACAGCAGCACTAGGTCACAGCTGAAACCAGAGGGGCTAAAACAAAAATCACCAAGGTCAGGCCAGGGATTTAGCTCAGTGGTTTCTGCCACCGCCTGCTGCGCAAGCACAAGGACCCGAGTTCGATCCCCAGTACCAAAAAAAAAAATCACCAAGGTCTTTTCATCCTAACACTGTAATTTGGATGAAAATAGCCTACTAAATATTCTAATCAAGTAAATCTTAAAATGCAACTAAAGAAAATTCAGGTTCCTGAGAAAGTGAAAGGCATTACTTCATTTATGTGCTTATAAACATTATTTTTTGTGGTACTGAAGATCCAACTCAGACTATCTTTAATGCTAGGCAAGAGTTCTACCACAGTATCATAGGCCTGAGTCACCCAGGCCTAAAAGTAATCTCAATATTATTACAAAAAGTAATTCCAACATTATCTTTTAAAAAAAGAAAAAGAGGAAAGCAAAACAAAAAACCCAAGAGAATCAGGTATGGTGGCACATGCCTGTAATCCCAGCTCTTTGGGAGGCTGAGGCAAGACGGTTACAGGTTGGAGGCAAGCCTCTACAATTTAGCAAGACTTGTCTCAAAACAAAAAATATACAGGGATGGGGACACATAGTAGAGCATCTCTGGGTTTGATCCCCAGTACTGGGAGGGAAAAAAAGCCCATAGGGAACAGTCAGGGACTGAGAAGTCTATAAATACTTTCTATGATTGGCTGAAACAGTCTTCACACCACTTTGGTACCAGGGATCGAACTCAGGACCTTTTACTTGCAAGGCAGGCAAGGTGCCACTGAGCTAAATCTCTGGCCCACCAGCCCCTTTTTGACATGTTTATCCACCTTAAAATCCTCTAAAAGGACCTGCACAGGACCTTGCACACAATAAGCACTGCCCCTAATTTTCCTAACCAGCCTGGGCTCTGCCAGAAAGTACAGAACCTGTTCTACCTATTTCTATATCCTCTCCAAAGCCTAACAAAGGAAGCACCTAGTAAGTAAATCCAAAATTAAAATTTAAGTGTTTTGGTTTTGGTTTTGGTACTGGGGATTGAACCCAGGACCTCCACACTGACCTACATCCCCAGCCCTCCCACCCCATCCCACCTTTTATTTTTTAAATTTTGAGACAGGGTCTCTCTAAGACACTAAATTGCCCGGCTGGGCTCCAATTTGCTGTCCTCCTGCTTCAGCCTCCAGAGTGCTGAAATTACAGGTGTATGCCACCATGACGGGCTAAAAGTATTGTTTTGGAGGAAATATCTACTCCTGTGGCTCCACCACTTAAAATACCTATTTTCAAACATTAGAAGGAGAAAATCAAGATCAACATGTGCGGCGCAAAGTAACTACTGCTACATGTGGGGATGTAAGGTTTGACTCGTCTGGGCCGGGGATTTAGCTCAGTAGTTTCTCCGCCTGCCTTGCAAGCGCAAGGGCCCCGGTACCAAAAAAAAAAAAAAAAAGGTTTGACTCATCTAGCTGTGCCAAGAAAGAACTGGTTTTCACCCACTACAAGAAAGAATCACAAGCACTCAGAGAGAAGCCCTTCTCTTTTCCAGGGATCGGAGAATGCACCTGTTGTGCATGCGGGCCACACACTAACCAGCCTGGAAAGCTGCCTGCTCCTCCGCGCCCCGGCTAATTCCCCAGGTGGGCAGTTCAGCAGCGGGGCCGGAGCCGGCCTGGGGGTGCCTGGGGCTCAATTGCTTTACTCGGGACTCGGGGAACCACAGGAGCTGTCGACCGTGCCCGCGCGCCAAGCAGGCACCGCCGGGGGCAGGTCGTGCAGCCGCAGCTCCTGCCTTTCTTCTCTTCAGTCACAGCTGGGACTTCACGGCGGGAGCAGCTTCCCTCGAAGTACAGCCTGGCTCCAAAATAATTCTCCGCTCTCCAGCTTAAACTGACGCGGGTCCACACAAGTCCCACTAAGCGGATCCAAACTAGCCGGTGTGACCCACACCTCCAACAGTATTCCAGAGGACAGAATGGGGGGGGGGGGTAGCCTGTAAATCCAGTACTTCGGGAGGCTGAGGCAAGAGGATCGCACATTAGAGCCCAGCCTGGGCAAGTTAGGGATTTAGCGAGACCCCCGTCTCAAAATAAAAAATAAAACGGGCTGGGATGCAGCTCAGTCCGAAGCCCCTGGATTCAATCCCCAGTACCTAAAAAAAAAATTTCAGAGGCATCCAGCCACCTTCTTCCCGGGGTGCCCGAGGTGGAGGGCAGGCGGAAATGGGGCGTGTGGAGCCAGGCCGCTTCCCTCACCCAGGGACCCCAGCCTGGGCTGAACGCGGGGTTCCCGAACCTCCTGCCTCCCTCGCTGACAGAAATCGCCCGCGCCGCCCGCCTCCCGAGGAAAGCGGCCAGGCGGCGCCGAGTCGCCCCTCGCCCCGGGAAAGCTTCGCGCAAGCCCCCGGCGCTGCTCCCACCGCTCCCCACGGGCTCCGGGCCGGGGCGAAACCATCACCGAAACCAGCGCCCGGTGCCCTCCCCGTCCGCCCGCCCCCCGAGGGCCCTGGCCGCGCCCGCCGCCTGCTCACCAGCTCCCAGCCGGCGGCCCGACCCACCTGCGACCCAGCAGCCGACGAGCGCAAACCTGGTGAACGCACCTGAGGCGCGCCCGGCCCGTGCCAGGTAAAGACTCGGCCCTTCCCCTCCCCTCTCCCCCCTCCCCCTGCCTTCCTCCCTCCCTTCACCCCTTCCTCTCCTGGCACCTTCCCTCTCGCCCCCGCCCCGAGCATGCGCGCCGAAGCCCGCCCTGCAGCCCGCTCCCACCTGTGGCACTCGGCGGACTCCTCTGTGCCCAGCGCCCAGCGCGCCCCGGACTCACGCTGGGAAGGAGAGACAGGAGGTGGGCGCTCGCTGGCAGGCGAGGCGTGCTGTGGTCACCTCCCTCGGTGACCCATTCACCTGAAACTCGGGTGGGAGGGGGAGGGGGAGGGGAGTGGCGCAGGAGGAGGCGGGAGGACCTGGCTAGCGCACCCCGGGCGGCGCGCTGAGTTAAAGGAGCCGCGCCGCGATTCTCGGGACGCGGAAGGTCCGGACCGCCGCGATTCGCTGGGCGCGCTCCGAGCTCTCCCCGCCCCGGACGAAACCAGAGTGGATCCTGAGGGGACTGGCCTCCTCCTGAGACAGAGCCGTGAGGGGCTGCACTACCTCACACGGTACCGTCCTTGTCCCAATTTTTGATTAAACATTTGTAGGGGAAAAAAAGGTTCTAGATATGTTGCCCCGACAGAAGAGTCCTGGAAGTTTTACAAAAGCCACGCGTTAATTTAGGAAGGATTTCTAAGTCTCTGGATTCATCAATCAGGATGATAAAATGAAGGCGAACTACTGTACATATTGGTGTGAGGCAAGATGAAGCACACACCATGCTTTCTGTGTCAGGTCCTTGTCCCCCACCTCGTCCAAATGTAACTGTCCTAAGAGTAATCCAGAGTCTACTCTCGGGGATTTCCATGTTCTCTCTTGGCCTGAAAATAAAACTTTACTTTTGGTTGTTAGGTTGTTTCTTATTCACAAACTACACTTAGCGATGCGGACTTTTATGTATGTGTGTATGTGTGTTGCATTTTTTTAAAAAATTATGCTCCAGGATGTAGTAATTTTAATTCTTGGAATTTAACTGTCTGCATAGAAGACTAGAATTAGATTTCTTCAATCCTGCTTCCTTTTCTGTTCCAACTTGGAAAGTCAGCATTGCTAATACATTCCTGTCCAGTCCCACCTACTTTTCTGCCTTTAATTAAATGCTTAGAGACAAGGCTCTCCTATACATTAGATCTTAAAGCACAGTTCAGTATTTCAGGAAGTAAGAGCGTTGTATAAATACAAGGTATTTTAAATGGTGACAGCGTTAATAATTAATCTGGTAATTTTTTATGAAGTCATTGGTATAATTACTTCAATATGACTAGTTTTTTAATAATGCTGTTTAAATTGATATTAGCACTGGGGAAACTCAGGTTAATCCTCTTAAAAGTTTGCAGTCAGATTACTAAAATCTCCGAACATTCCAACTTGGTTTATAATTAAACAAGGGAACCTTTCCTAATACTCTCAGATTCGTAAACACACGCCTATTATTTTATAATGCATTTTGACATCTTTTGAAGAGATCTCAGGAGGATTTTTTCCCCACTTATCAAAAAGAATTGCAGGCTCTAGATGTCGTTCAGTGGAAGAGTACATGTTTAGCATGGGTATGATCTCCAGCACCACACGCGCATGCACACACACACACACACACACACCATATATATTTGTACAACACCAAGTTCCAATTCCATAACATTTTCACCACTCCAAAAAGAAATCCAGTACACATTAAGTAGTCACTCCCTATTTTTTCATCCCTCTTCCCTTGGAAACCAGTAATATACTTTTTGTCTATTTTATTTTTATTTTTATTTTTTTGGTACTGGGGATCAAACTTGGGACCTTGTGCTTGTGAGGCAGGCGGCAGCACCACTGAGCTAAATCCCCAGCTTGTTTTGTCTTTTTGAGACAGGATATCACTATGTATTCTAGGTTGGGCTTGAACTCACTGTGTAGTCCACACTAGCCTGGAACTCACAGTGATCCTCCTGCCTCAGCTTCCCAATCTAAGCTGAGCTGAGATTATCTCAGCTGAGATTAGTGGCGTGTGCTACTGCACCAAGGCTCTGTCTCTATTGATTCGCTTATATTAGACATTTTCTATGATTGGTTAATACAACATGTGACTTTGTGTCTGGCTTTTTTCACTCAGCATACTATTTTTCAGGGTGCATCCCTATTGCAGCGTGTATCAGTAGTTCATTCTTGATTATGACTGAATAATATTCCCTTGCATGGATAAACAACATTGTTTATCCATTTGCTTACCTATTCATCAGTTGGTGGAAATTGGGGTTGTTTCTCCTTTTTGGCTCTTATACTGCTATGAATATTCGTATATTTGTGTACAAGTTTTTGTGTGGACATATATTTTCAATTCTCTTGGGTAACTTAGGTATTTAAATTGAATTTTTTATCATTTTAAGAAAACATGATATTTCTTTTATGCTCAGCCAAAGGGTTTATGCTAAACCCAAAGGCAAGTAAGGTTCAGTGGAAAGTTAGTTCTCTTAATTTATGTGCTTTCGGGCCGGGGATTTAGCTCAGTGGTTTCGCCGCTTGCTGTGCAAGCTCAAGGACCCGAGTTCGATCTTCGGTACCAAAAGCAGACAAACAAACTGTTAATTTATGTGCTTTCATCATTCATTTATTCAACAACTTGCTACAGATTAAACCCAGAGCCTCACACATACTAAGCATGCACTCTACCACTGAGCTGCATACCTGGCAGACAACTATTTTCTAAGTGCTAATTTCATGCACTGAATGAAAAAAAAAACTTTTTTTTTTTTTGAGACCAGGGTCTTGCATTATTTCCCAGATTGGTCTCAAAGTCTTGGATTTAAGTGATACCCCACCACCACCTCCTGAATAGTTGGGAGTACAAGTGAATGCCACCACACCCAGCATAAAAAATGCCTGTTTCAATGAAAATAAATGACTAGATACCACTGAATTCATGCATATGGAATAGCGGGATTTAAGGTGAATTATATAAAATTTACAGTAGTTGATCACTTTTAATTGCAGAAATGGCAACTTCATATGGCTCAATTTAATACTAAATATCTGTTGAAATTTTGTATACCTTTTTTTTTGGTACCGGGGATCTAACTCGGGACCTTGCGCTTTCGAGGCAGGCGGCAGCACCACTGAGCTAAATCCCTGGCCCCTGTATACCATTTTTATTAAGTTTAGATTAATTTCCCAAATGCTTCCAGCTTTGAATGATCTTAAAAACCTGTGTTAAAAAAAAAAAAAAATCCCTATGTTCTTGGGCCAGAGATTTAGCTTAGTGGCACCTTGCCTGCCTGGCAAGTGCAAGGTCCTGAGTTTGATTCCCAGTACCAAAAACCCCCCAAAAAAACCACACACAAAAACCTGTGTTCTTGTCATTATTGCCTAATATTGTGCATGTTAGGTAGTAGTACTCAAAGTGTCTAAAGGGAAAATCCAAAATCCAGCCTTAAGACTGAAACACTTTTCCTTGGAAGCAAAACAGAATTGGTTGGATCCTAAATGATGTCATCTCAATTTAATCACATTACATAATTATACATTAGAGCTATAGCTAGGCATTGTGGTTCATACCTGTAATCCCAGCACTTGGGAAGCTGAGGCAGGAGTATCATCACATGTTCAAGGCCAGCATGGACTACATAGTGAGATCCTGCCTCAAAAAAAAAAAAAGAAAGGGGGCCAGGGATTTAGCTCAGTGGTTTTGCCGCCTGCTGCGCAAGTGCAAGGACCCAGGTTTGATCCCCAGTACCAAAAAAAAAGGGGAAGGAAGAAAGGCAAATTCCAGTATTGCCACTTAGTAGCTGGATATAAAGGGAAGTCAACTATATAAATCTAATTTTTCTCTGTTAAATTTGGGATAAAAAATAATACCTTCTTTGAGATGATTGGGGGCTCAAACAAATCTTGTAACGTGTCTCTGCGGTACCTTATCTGCCTAAAACTGTCCTTGTCACACCAGCACCCTGTAACTATTGGCAGAGTGGCTGAATATGCATCACTCTGATTCTCAAATCCAGTATGCCAGCAGGGTCTCATCCATCTTTCAGCAACCTGCCTGCCATTGTAAAACTGGCACATTTCTTAATAGCATTTCAAGGCTTCCATTGCCAGCTCCAAGGTTTGGAGGAGAACAGAAGGGGGATTAAAATATTTCCACTCTACTTCACCGGCTTAGTGAGCCAGTTTAATAACTGGCATTTGCTTAAGAGCAAGAGTTTGGAGCTGTTGAGGGCCTAGCCTGCAAGGTCCAGTCTGTCCTTGAGTCACCATGAGGCTGTCTGGCCCACCCCAGACAGTTCCCAGGACAAATTTATGGAGGATTTATGAGGAGGCCACCAGGAAGGCAATTTCTGAGAGGGTGACTACACTAGGTGAGTAACCTCTCCTCCCGAATTGCCATGGATTAAGCAAGCTCTTCCTGGGAGGAATTCAGTTACACAAAGAGTTTCAGCCCGTAAACAGGAACTTCAACCAAGGGAATAATGACAATAATGATAGATGTCACTTGCTTGGGGATAAACTTGTGCCAGGCACTGTGCCACATTTTGTGGGCTTTTCAATTATTTTGTCTTTCCAACAACCTTATGACATACTATAAGTTCCCCATTTTACACATTGGAAAACTAAAGCTCAGCAAAGTGTAATCATTTACTTAAGTTGTATGCTAAGTCATAACATCAAGACCCAAGCACAGGTAACCTGGTTCCTGAATAAATGGTTTCAACAATTATACTGTATTTTAGGACTTTATATTGTCTGTAGGCAATATTCCATGGTTGAGGAACACTGTCTCTTCACCAGAGTGGAGGCTCATGGCCCTCCAATATTTTATTAAATTGTACATATATGTTTGTTCTTTTGTAGGAATTTTATATTTTATAAAAAGACTTTTATTTTTTTATTTTCTTTCTTGGGGGTAGGTTTTTTAAAAATTTAAAGCAAAACATGTATTGGTACATTTTAAACACACATAATGATAGCACTCATCATAAGGAATTTGCACCTGTACACAATACGTCCCACCTCTTTCTTCCTATTCCCCCCTCCCTTCAAGCTCCCTCCCTTCCGTATGTACAAAAACTGTTTCCATTTTTTCCTTCTATTTTCATGTCCTTTCCTTCCTTTCTTCCTTCTTCCTCCCTTGTTCCCCTTCCCATTTGAACATTTTCTTCCCATTTTCCAATATCTATTATACATTTTAGTCCTTATTTCCATTTTCAGTTTTTCACACCCAAGAAACAATGTGGTATTTAAACACGTGTGTCCAATTTATTTCACTTAACAGTATGGTCTCAGGGCCCATTCATTTAGCTTTAA